GGCGGGAAAGGAAAACTGCTGAGTCAGCAGTGGTGGTTTTTTTTTTGCTTGTTTTTTTTTTTGGATCTGAAATATTTGATACACACACACACACACACCTTACAAACATACGTCTAATCTGAGTCGTTAAACTCTAAACACGTCATTATTGTCTCACATTATAACTTTAACGTGTGTGTGTGTGTGTGTGTGAGAGAGAGAGAGAGAGAGAGAGAGACCTCTGCTACGTGCCATTTCTCAGCTGTGTCTGGGAACATTCTAGATCTGGACGTACAGTGGTCAGTGATTGGCTGGTGACTTAATGACAGGGGGCGGGGCAGAGGTGGGCTGTGAGGTCATCGCTGTCTCAGACCGTGAGTGTGTGTGTGTGTGTGTGTGTGTGTGTGTGTTTGGTCCGACTATATAACTATAAATATATATATATATACACATGTGTGTGTGTCATATTGTTGTTGACTAATCTAATCTAATCTAATCTAATCTAATCTCTAGATTATCTGCAGCTGCAGCAGTAATAAAATACATTAACTGTAAATTAATTATTTGGTTAATTCAGGTGAAAATTGTATTCAAATGAAAAGTAAACTATGTAAATAATAATCATCATAATAATTTTGTTTTTATCACCTCCCCCCCCCACAGTGCTGCTCCACTGCTCCACTGCTCTGACTTCAGGTCTGACTCCATTTCACATGACACTTAATGACAGACTCTCACCAGGTGCCAGCATTTAATTACACATCAAAGTCAACCTGTGTGTGTGTGTGTGTGACATCCTGGATCAAATACGTCCTGTCGGCTGTTTGTCTTTTGAGCGTAACTTAAATTAAAATGTCCTGACATACATGAGAAATATAAATATACATACGTAAATATATGAGTAACTGATGTAAAAGTGGAGGTTGTGGTTGTGGTGGTGGTTGTGGTTGTGTGTGTGTGTGTGTGTGGTACCTGGGTCTGCGTCAGGCCCAGTTTGGCTGCCAGGTCGGCCCGCTCAGGCAGGGCCAGGTACTGGGTTTGCTGGAATCGCTGGTTGAGGGCCTGGAGCTGCAGACTGGAGTAGATGGTCCGAGGCTTCCTGATCTTTTTGCCTTTGCCGTTCAGCCTCACCTCCCCGTTCTCTATCACCGTGGTCGGCTTCTCGTGTTCTGCAGAGAGGAAGAGAGGTTCATGGTGTCTGTGGTGTGGGGCGGCAGCAGAAGGTCGGCGTGTGTTGGAGGATGGGGGGGGTGACTTTAGCAACACTCAGAAACGTTGGTGTTTACGTTTTGGTTGGAGTTTGGTTTTTTTTTCTACCCAGAACTTCAGAGAAATGTTGACAGAAAAATAAACGACTTGTACTTCATCATATCAGGGAAAGTTCCACAGATTTGACAGATTTATGACAGCAAAACAAGAGTGGGTGAAGAGTGACTTCACCTCCTTCTCCTTCTCCTTCACCTCCTGCTTCACCTCCTGCTTCACCTCCTCCTTCTCCTACCCCACGGTGAACGTGAGCCCACACTGACTGTTGTTTTGACATGAGCTCATAGCCTCCAGTGGAGGAGAGAGCAGCAGAGAACAGCTGGGTTCTCGGCCCCACAAGACGTTCTCATTGTGTAACTGAGCTGCAGCTCAGTTGTTCCAGCAGTCGGACCGCGGTTCATCAGGGCTGGGGGAGGAGGAGGAGGAGGACGAGGACGAGGAGGTGAGGGCTGAAGACAGAAGGACCAGTGAGAAATTAGAGGAAAAGGAAAAATGGGGGGTGGGAGGGGGAGAGGAAAAGACGACGACCGTCTGAGAAGGAAACAAATGTTTGAAGGACATCTGTTTATATTTGTTGTCATTTGTTCTTTGATGACAGACTGCACCGCTATATAAATACAATTAATAATAATATTAATTATAATTATAATAATAATATTAACAGGTTGTGTCCTTCGCCTTGTAGTGTCATTATTATTTATGTCGAAGAGAAAAAGAAATTCAAATATATCAAAAATCTGAAGTGTAAAAATTGAATTAAAAAGAATTTGCCAGTTGGTAAAATTTGTTAATTTCTCAGCTAGTGTTTATTTATTTATTTAATATAAATTGTTAGTGATCTTGTCCAGAATTTAAATTAAATACATTTTAATTCCTTCTTTAACGTTGAATGAACGACAGTGGAAACGGTTTTGATGTGAATTCGGTTTAAGTGTGATTTGACTGAATTAAATGAATATATATATATATTACAAATAAATATGTCCCAGACAAAGACTGAGAAATGTAAAAAAAATGTTACATTTAATATTTATGCAACATCTATTGTAAAAAAAAATAAATTCTGGTCAGTGACGATGGATCTCCTTCATTTAAAACAACGCAGTAAAAAAATCACCGTTTGGTTTCATCATCATCATCATCATCATCATTACCATTATTACAACATCATCATCATCATTATTATTATAATTATTATTAGTGATATGATCTACATCTGTCAGTAATTAATGTAACATCGTCTCATAGTTGACAAACAGCCATGAAAAACAGACTCAGTGAATTCTGTAGAAAAAAAAATCTCAGGACGGACGTTGGGAAAATCAAATTTTTTTTTTTTTCAGATTACATTGAAATATTTGTCAAGAAAAAATACAGACCTGAAATTATTAATTTACTCTGGATTTTAATTTAATTACCAATTAATCTCTGCGATTATTAATTATTAATTTACACCAGTGTTGGGAGAATTATCTACAATAAAAACAATTATTACTATTATTATTATTATTGTTTTATTATTATAAATATTATTATTATTGCATGAAAAGGCCGCAGGATTTTTTTTTTTTTTTTTTGGAGAGATAATATGATGGTATGACAGTGAGGGTGAGGATGAGGGTGAGAGTTAAGGTGAGGGTGAGGCTGTGGGACACCACAGGCCGACGGCCGGGCCTCGACAGCCCATAATGCACTGCAGACAGGCGGCTGCTGCTGTGGCTGTGGCCGAGTGTGGATCCAATTACTGGACTGAACTGTGGTTTAGGTCCAAGTTTTCTTTTCTGATTATTGACTGTAGTTGTGATGATGACGTCACTGCGAACAGACACTGGCAATGTTTAGAGAATTCTCTTTCTTTTTTTTTCTTTTTTAAATTCCCTTCAGTCAAACTGAGACTTTTTTATCTGGTCTGTAGCAGTGACCAAAATCAACCGACAGAAACTGACCATGTCGTAAAATCACTCCTGTTTTTTTCTTTCTTTCTTTCTTTATTGATTGATTGATTATTTATTTATTATTTATTGTTATTTACTTTCACAGAGACAGGGGAGCCCCGCCCACACTGGAGACCCCTTTATTAGGTGGTCGTAATTTATTTTAAATTTCTTACGTTTAATAGTTAAAATATATTCGTTGTTTTTTTATTTTAATGACCATTAAATGTATCTATATATAAAATATCGAATAAAAAACAGGCAGAAATATGTATAATTTTATGGAGGGGGTGAAGGCCACAAAGAAAGACGGGAAAATATTTAAGCTTAAAAATGTCTTTGAGAAATCTTGAAAAAATTTAAAACATTAAAAAAATTAATAAATTAAAGTCTGAAACAGAGTCAATAAAACTAATAATTCAAAGAGTTTCAGTTTGTTCTCCCGGGTGAAGGTGTCGCAGACTGTGGTTTTTGACGGAATTATAATATATTTAGCATCAGCAACAATCAGGTGAAAAACATTAATAATTATTAATTAAATAATAGTTAAATTAAAAAAAAAACCCTGCAACATATACCTGTATCTTCCAGCCTGCTGTGGCCCAGCGGGCCTCCGTGCCCCCCGTGCTGGTAGGGCAGATAGGCCCCGGGGTGGTGTGCGCCCACCGGGCTGTGGTAGGACGGGTATCCCAACGGGCGACCGTACGATGACGCACCGGGGGCGAAGGGCCCGTCATGCTGCGCGTGAAGACCGTGCACCGGGTAATGGTTGTGGGAAAAGCCCGGCGAGGGCTGCTGGTGTCCGGGGAAGCCGTGGCCGCCGAATTCCAAAAAGGCCGACTTGGACGGATCAGGCGGGACCAGAGAGTCCGATATTGAGCTCATCGTCATCATTGGGGCTGCGGGTCAGAGACGTGCGGGGAAACGAGAGGGTAGTCGAGCTGCTAAGACCTCCGGGCGGGCGACATCATCAAGTGACGCAGCATCAAGGACAATATATACATATAAATATATATTATTACTAATAATAATAATAACAATGTCGTCAAAGTGTTCGAAG